ATGAAGATGATGAGAAAATATAGTGCATTCATTTATAGGATGGTTATTCTGTCCTCACCATTACCAGAGAATATCTTGATTTTGTTTGATATTCATATTTTTTTATTCTAGTGATATTACTTGGTCGATTAGCCTGGCCTCTTGTTCTGTATCATTGTATGTGTAGTTCACAGAGAAAGTAACACATTTTATGAGGAATACATTGATATACGATATTCTGTATCAATTTTAATCAGAAAATTTACAAAAGCAAATAAAGTCCTTTTTATATGGCAGCATAGTATGAACCGATGTCAGGAACAGCTCAGTTCCCAACACCACAGTCCAAGGCAAAGCAAAGTTGTCAGGGTCTAGAGAAAAGTGTCGAAACTAGCAACTACAAAAAAATCTACGATGCTATGGCATCTCTGTCTAGTGTCGTACAAAGTAACAAGTGATTATCACAAATATTCAGTGACTTGGGACAGCATTCGTAACTCAGCGACGATCGAATGGAATTGATGGCACTTCGGGGCGTCCTGTAACCAGCACAGGGCGCCAGGGGAGAGGGAGTGCCCCCAACCCACCAGGTCAGTGCCAGCAAGCAAGCCCAGCAGGGAAGGGGGACGGCTCGTTCCCTGCTAAAATCCAGCAGCAGGGAAGCAGAGCAAGCAGACGAGACCAGCCGGTTACTGTTGTAGTAAGGGTTCTTAGCTTCTACTGCTTTTAGAGGAGCCATTGTCCGGAGTCGCAAGCACGTGAATGTGGCACACGAGAACGGATGTAATCAGCAGCAGGGACAGCATCAACAGGCTAACAGTGAAGGTGGCGGTCGGCATGCATATACTATCGACGTTGCTTGCTGACTTGTTCGGTGAGGAAACCGCTGGAACGTGAGGTCCGTTCGCGCCAACTACCCGAAGCCTCGGCGAATTCCTGGGCGATGGGGTGGTGGAGGAGAGGTGGGAGAGCCACATCGTACGTCTTCTGGGTTGGTTTGACAGCTCTGCGAGGACGCCTGGGGTGAGGCGAGTGCCATACGGAGGACGGCGACGGCGAGTGCCAGAGGGCCGGTTCTGCCAAGCGTGGAAGGCATGGTTTTCCAGATTGGGCGTCGTGCTGGGAACCTGTGTTGTGGGCCGGCACTCTGGGCGAGGGTCACGGGGGCCAGAACATGGAGCCTTTGTTACGCATCGTGGGTGGTTGGGGTTTCTTGCACAACATTGTCGAGAACCTGGATTACTGACACAAGGATCTTGTGTGGTGGTAGGGGGTCTAGTAGTTGTAAAGGACCGCCTAGTAGTGGTGATTGGACGTCTAGTTGTGGTAGTGGTTATCGAACGTCTAGTGGTGGGGCGCCTAGTTGTAGTGGTAGGGCGTCTAGTAGTGGTTGTTGTACACTGAGGGGCGTTGGGATTCCTTGCACAACACTGGGGTGACCCAGGATTAAATGCACAAGGATCAAACGGTGTTGTAGGGCGTCTAGTGGTTGTGGTAGTTGTAGTGGTAGTACACTGAGGTAGATTGGGGTTTCTGGCGCAGCACTGTGGTAGACTAGGGTTCAAATCACAGGGATCTGGTCGCGGTGTGGTGGTGGTCGTGCAAAACACAGAGTTGGGACGTCTAGCACAGCACTGCGGAGATCTAGGGTTAATATCACAAGGATCAGGACGAGGCGTTGTGGTACTTGGACTCCTGCACAAGGGAGAATTAGGACGCCTTGCACAACACTGGAATGACCTTGGGTTAACGTCACATGGATCAGGTCGTGGGGTAGTTGTTGTTGTAGGACGCTGTGTCGTAGTTGTGCAGAAGATGGAGTTAGGACGTCGGGCACAGCACTGTGACCTTGGTTAACGTCACATGGATCAGGTCGTGTGTGGTTGTTGTTGTAGGACGCTGCGTTGTAGTTGTGCAGAAGATGGAGTTAGGACGTCGGGCACAGCACTGGGGTGACCTTGGGTTGACATCACATGGATCAGGTCGTGGTGTGGTTGTTGTTGTAGGACGCTGTGTCGTAGTTGTGCAGAAGATGGAGTTAGGACGTCGGGCACAGCACTGGGGTGACCTTGGGTTGACGTCACATGGATCAGGTCGTGGTGTGGTTGTTGTTGTAGGACGCTGTGTTGTGGTTGTGCAGAAGATGGAGTTAGGACGTTGGGCACAGCACTGGGGAGACCTTGGATTCAAGGCACAGGGATCTGGTCTTGGGGTCGTAGTTATGATACGGCGTGAGGTTGTGGGACGAGGCGTGGTTGTAGTGGGACGTGTTGTTGTAGTGCACAGAGGAGAATTTGGACGTATGTTACAGCACTGCGTTGATCTAGGATTCACGGCACAAGGATCAGGCCTGTAGTGGTGTAGTGGTTGTGGTGGTAGTGGTACACTGGCGATGGTTGGGGTTCCTTGCACAGCAACTTGGACTTCCAGGGTTGAATAGACAAGGATCTCTCCTGGTTGTGGTGATCGGTCCTGGTGGTGGTAGTGGTTACACACTGAGGTGATGTTGTTCCTCGCACAA